GGGAACCAAACGGTTCAAGGTCCAAAAGACAGTTTCAGTGCAAACTGCAAACAGTTCAAAGGGCTTTAAACGATTACAGACGATGAATAAGGGTCTTATCAAGTGAAACGATCGATTGTGTAAAAAAAAAATAACAAAGTTTAAGTTTTATAAGCTCAAATGCTCGCCTTGCTCTGTTCTGTGATGAGCATTCGTGACTCTCCTATTCAGACTCGTTCATCAAAATGAACGAATCTTTTCGTTCATTGAATGAACCAAATGACACGATAAAAAAAGATCCATTCATTTTGATTTTCACGTCTGAAATCGTTTAAAGCCCTTTGAACAGTTTGCAATGATACTGTCTTTTGGACTTTGAACCGTTTGGTTCCCATTGAAGTCCATTATATGGAGAAAAATCCTGGAATGTTTTCATCAAAAACCTTAATTTCTTTTCAACTGAAGAAAGAAAGACATGGACATCTTGGATGACATGGGGGTGAGTAAATTATCAGCAAATGTTTTTTTAAAAGTGAACTATGCCTTTAAATCGAATTAATAACACTGAGGTCAGCTGAGAGAGGTTGTTGGCAGTGTGTCCACTGTGTGCTCCAGGGCAAATGGTGATAGACTGACATACTTAACCAAACCACCCAACAGCTCCAAACGAAATCAAAACTCAGCATGACAGAGTGCGAGTCGCTGAGGGACATGATCACTGTGGTACTGCCGTCTCCTTGCCACGGACACACGCATGCACGCACACTCACTGACACAAGATTACAATGAATGCACATTACAACGACAAGCCAAACTTGTTAAAGTGCATTTTATTACGGTAGGGGTAAAAAAAAAAAGGGTTGAGAAGCTTGAATGAGAATTAAATAATGATTGGAAATGGTCAATCATACTCAAATCCAGAACTGGTGCATAAACACCTAGGCTACAATTGATGAATCAAAATAAATGATTTTTCAGACCCATTACACTTTTGATTTAAATTCAGATGACAACAAATAAAGGTTGATTAGCAAGAACTCACAATTTGGCAACTGAAATAAATATTAAATTACATCCACAGCTCTCCAATTAATTTATCCATGGCACGGTCTGTTTTTAGAGAGGAAATTATTTTGTAATTGCAGCTCCAATTCTAACTAACCCTTCAATAAGCTCAACTAATTAGTCCAGCTTTACAAAACATTGAAGCCTGCAAATCAGAATTCTTTTCAAGAGAAAAATAATCATTTGAAAGTGATTACCAATGTGAGTAAACAGAAATACAAGTACAAGTTTAACATTATCTTAACCGATATTATACATGTTCATTTGGGAATGAGGCCGGAGATATTTGGATGCCAAGTTGCAAAGGCAGGATTGGTCAGTAATGTTATAGAGCGGGGCTTAGCAAAGAGTCAAATGTAACGATCAATTAAGCATAAATAGAGAGAGAGAGAAAAAAAAATTCACAACTAGCCTCCACCAAAAAGTTGTAAGAGTATATTTAAAAAAAAATATATATATTTAATTTGTTTTAGCGATGTTGAATCATTTATACCCAGAAAATGATTTGTCAATATAAAGAGCAAAAAAAAGAAGACCAAAAACCTAACCATTTAAGTGACTACACTTGTTAAGTTAGTTGAATGTAAATGTGCATCTAAATGTTACTTGTAAGATACTTACCATTATAATCTGTCCCTAAACTGCGCTCGTGCATATAAACACCATATCATGCCCGTTTCATATTCACATTTAGAAATAATCTAATAGTAAATCTAAGAGAACGTGAGCATGTGCTGCATCGTGTGGTGCAAGTGTTTACTTGTAAAATACCATAAAATTCGCCTCAGGGTTTAGAAAAACTAGACTTTGTTGATGTGTGGACTACTGTGCATGCTGGACTACAACTGACATGTATAATATGGAATGAGGGACAAGTGAATTAGACGCTAGTATGGAGCAAATCTTGAATAATTAATTACAAACCACAACAACCTCAAAGAAATGACACAGGAGGCAAGAAATTGACACAAGTAATAAAGGCTAAAGCACTCCAATACCATTAAAATTGTTTTAATGCTGTTGCAGATAAAACATGCAACAATATCACCTCATAAAACTGCAAAGTATAAGGAAAAGAATGACTCGAGAACCTCTAAATGATACAAGCTATGAGAGTTTCCCTTGACGCCCTGCGATTATTGTGCACTGCTGGTGTTGTGTGAATATCACATTGTTGATCAAAATGGGGAGAAGCATTGTCATGCACAGATATGAAAAAATGTCATTAAATTAAAATAAAGTTTAACCTCGGCTTCAATGTATAGTTTCCAGAATCTGCCCGAACTGGGAAACTGGGCGACAAGTCGCTCATATGTCTTCCTTGCTTTGTCTATGGGTTGATTCTAAAAGAAGTAAAATTCATTTACATACACAATTATAACGTACGTCCCAAAGACCGTTTACATGAAACAGCGTCAGATTTGCCCTCCCGTCCCCTCCCAAAACATGTTACCCCCGGGTAGAAAGGAATGCAACCCTGTGTCACTAAACCTGTGCTTCACGAATCAGTATGCTCCAAGCGTCGAGGTCATATGGGTTTTCTTCCAACTTCTTCTCTGCTTTCTTCACCTTCTCTGGGATGTACTCTGCTGCCTGTTGAGGAGAAACGAAACAGCAAATGTGAAACCAGATTATCCTGAAATGTGTGCGCAACATTTATCCCAAAATACATTTCACTCTGGAAATGCTAGTGCACCTTCCTATTTTGGATTTATAACCATAAGCTAAACATCAATGGATCTCCATCTAAAGCATAGGAATTGTGCGGTGTACTTGAAATATAGCTGTTATTCTGTAGCGTTTAACAACTTTCATAGACAGCATTTTGACAATCGAGTCATTGTAATATACTAAAGGATAAACGATCTTGTTTTTTGTAGTAAACTAGATAAAGTTTGTCAGACAAACTACGATGCTGGGTCAAGAAAAGTATGAGTGTAAAGTACTTTTAAAATCTTAAAGTTTGCTGTTAATTAGCTTTAAGTTTGAATGTTTTTAATTGGTAGCCTAGAATTTGAAGTTATGAGATTGTGTGGAGGGTAGGGTGTTGCTAAGCAGGGTAACGTTAGTTGCTTGGAGGTTGCTATGTGGTTACTAGGGTATTCTAGGTGGTTGCTATAGTGGCTGAATGTTGCTAGGAGGTTGTTAGGGTGTTATAATTGGTTTCTGGTCAACCCTTTCAAGAAAATCTTCCGTTTGGTTAGAGAAGACGCATCAACCCGAGTCTGAAGGTCTTGTCCGAGTTTGCTTTAGGAGATGTTCATGTTGCGGTCAATACTTTTTTTTTTTTTAAAGAAAATAAGTTTAAATAGAATAATAATAGTACGTTGGCTTTCTCAAGCCTACATAATAAATCTGAACATTGTTATTAACAATAATAGAGGTAAAAAAAAAAAAATCAATGGCATCGTGGTGTGTCGTGCTTCAGTCATACAATCGACAGCACCTAACGTTAAGCAACAGCATTACGTCAACACTCGTCTTTCCTTCTACCTCAGATGTTTTATCACGAATTAATCAGAGCAGAACAACAACTACACAAACACTCGACGCATACCGTGAGAGGCGTGTAATAAACCTTTAAACATCGACAGCATCCTGCTTTAGGAGCAAGCTCAACAGCTAGGCCGCAAACACGAGCACTTGATTTCCAACACCCCACAAACCACATATGTCTTTACTTTACCTGGTCCGGTGGGGTTTCGGTGGACATGATGGAATATGAGTGCGATCCGAGCAAAGGAACGTCGACTGCTCTAATATCACAAATAACCGCAGACTGTGACTAATATTGCAGCATTGTTTATATGTGCAGACTCTTTGTACGGCCGCTCGCCTCTCACCGCGCACTAAAATGGCAGCAGCGTGAATTAGCCGTTGAGCCACGCCCACAGAAACCTACTCATTTCAAAATAAAGGTCACTACAGCAGTAGTAAATAATTGTAATAATAACAGCAGTAATAAATGTACACATTAAAATCAAAATAAAAAAAAATATATTTTTGTATGTTCAGTGTTTACTGTTAATAGAATTTAGTGATGGCCTTGGGAAATCACTAAAAGTAGTAAAGCTGTGAGATCAATTGCTTTTTAGTATAGGGAAGCTTTTTTAATAATGAGTAATTTCAACCCATTTACTATCACCCCATTTTGGGAATATACGTGAAAATGCACTATACAAAATTAAATGGTTTTAATTCAAGAATGCTTTGGACCTACATTTTTTGGTCTAAAAAAAAGAGTAGGCATAAAATACCCAAATGACTACTTCCGGTAAGATTCTGAAGCGTGCATATGATCCGATATGATCCAAATAAAGATATCGCATATGATGGATGGACACTTTTACTATCCCATGAGGCCACGGGAGGGGTTTTGTGAATGACAGTTCTTCCAATATTCTCTCCTAACTGGCCTTGTTTGTGCAACTCTCTCTGTCTGGAAGAAGATTGTATTACTTTACGAGTGCCTACCCTAGCCAGCAATTTCTAATTTATGAAATACCGAAAATATCTTCATTTTTCACAACATATTTGGTAATTGAATGCTTATTTGGTGTTATAAAGAATAAATACTGATATCACTGAAGATCCATAACCCCATAATATAGTAATTAATACTTTGGCTGTACTATGTTAATTTCTATAATCCTATGTTAATTTATGTGTATTGCAAGTCAAAATCCTTGTAGCCGACGTAAATATTTATGTGCACATGCCTTTCCTTTGTTAAAATTGTACGACAAACATCTTTGTGAAAAAGTGATCCACTTGTCAGAAAATACTATAATCAAAGAACGTATATTGAACGAAACGATAACAGATTTCATATTTATATATCGCTACTACTATGTTGTGGGTTTAAATGATTTAGAAGAAACTGTAAAAGTGGTATAATGAGAATGTCGGGGAAAAAATCGCATTTAAAACGCTCTAATTTCATTCAGGCAGATTTTCAGACAACGTTGCCAACATTTTCCCAGCATTCCTTGCGTGCGGCCTTTTCCTCCATTTTTGAGACTGAATCAGGTGAGCGTTTTAGAGCTCGTCTTTTAAAATGTGACATTTTAGCATTGTGTGATGTAAACTAAACCTCGATTTCTACCACTATTGATTAAAAATACCAATAAAGTCCATATTCCGCTGAGTTCTGCCATGTACGACATAAGATGTTTTGGATTTTAAACGGATTGTTTGAGCCCGTTGACTCAGGCTAAACTGTGGTCCGGAGCTCATTTCTGCACATTACTGTCAAATAAAACTGTTTGTTAATAATTTATGTTGTTTATTACACGGGTTAGCTTGTGTTGAAGACGTAATATTAACTATAAACTACGTGTAACTTTGTATTCGAACTTAGCAACTAGCATTGAGGAAGATAAACATGCTGCAGCTACGAAGCTGCTGTGTGTTCATATAGTAAATGCAAATATGAAATCCGTTTATCGCGAGGGACCAAATATTGACCCCTTTGACTAAATGTTTTTCTGATTTTTATTATTTTTTTAGGTTGTTAGCCTGGTCAAATCATCATAATGCCCGGAAGGTAAGATATGAAAGCTGTCAGCATTGTTAATCTGTCGCATATTTAACTGCGATACCTATAATGTTTGGCTCGTGCACCTAGATAAAGATGAGTTCACGTTAACTTTTCTCCCTCTTTCAGGTTGTGGAGCAAGGCCATCTTTGCTGGCTACAAGCGTGGCCTGAGGAACCAGCGTGAGCACACTGCTCTGCTCAAGTTAGAGGGAGTTTACACCCGCGCAGAGGTCGACTTCTACCTGGGCAAACGCTGTGCCTACGTCTACAAGGCAAAAAAGTAAGTAATGGCACGATATAGTGTTTATGGGACGAGTAGCACGTGTGGGGAACGGTTTGTGTGATCATGCTGTCAGTGCCGTGACCAGTGTTGCCAACTTTGGCAAGACAAATAAGCAACAGCAGCTTCAAAAACAAGCTTAATATTTATCATCAATTATATATATATATATATAAGCTTGCAACATATTAAACTGAACCCACTACAAAACTAAAATCATCAAATTGCTAAGAAGCGCGATGACACGCACTATCCTCCGATCACCTGTGAAAGACAAGAGCACTAAGAGCGAGCTGTAACAACCACAATTATAATTCGAACCATATGCATCTATTATTAATAGGGATGCTCAATATATCGGCCACCATATCGGAATCAGCCGATGCATTTTTAATGTATCTAAGATGCTTTTGAATTGGTTGAAATATGATTGAAATAACTTCAAAAAAGGTAAATGCAGTTAAGTGCAACATGTGCCAAACAATTGTCATAAGCTGCATAAAACTATGAGAACATTAAAATTGTGTGTTTGGGACATGGCTTTAATGGTGAGACTTGTTTTTGTAATCAGGCTTGGTTAAAATTATTGGTTATCGATATTGGACAAAATGTTAATGTCTGTGCATCCCTAACTGTTAGTAGCATATTAGTACTTTTTTATTACAGCTTGTAATGATAAATGCATTATATATATATACATATATATATATATATATATATATATATGAAGAGTTCAGATGCAAAAGCCTCTAAATGCCATTTGAAATTTTCTTCTTTAATGATGATTTTTATCAAACTTGTATATTTAAGTTCAGTAATTTCACTTAAATGGCAATGATAATTACCTATTAATTGTTATTTAAGTGAAATTACTGAACTTAAATATACAAGTTTGATAAAAAATCATCATTAAAGAAGAAAATTTCAAATGGCATTTAGAGGCTTTTGCATCTGAACTCTTCATATATATATATATATATATATATATATATATATATATATATATAATAAATAGGGGTTCTCCTCCCCTGAGCTGTCCATCATCTCCCATGTTTTCTCTCCATCCCTGTACAGGGCTCTAGAGTGTGGCTGTTGAGATTGCCTGTTAGCATTGTGCAGACTGTCAATGTATTGGAGAATATGGCACCCATAAATGTGATCAAATGAAGTTACTTAACAGATTTTAAGCAACAATGTCTTTTTTTTTTAAGTAAGCCCAAAAAGCCACAAATGGTGATTTTTAAAAAACAAAACAAAATAAAAACTTGTTTACACGACTTGCCAAAAAAAGCCAGAAGTTGCATATTATAACCGGACTTGGCAACTCTGGCTGTGACTATTCATTTTTATATGAAAGTTACCATTTATATAATTAAATGGATATTATTAAATCAGATGTATGTTTCTGTTCTTATTATGAATTAATTTAATTAGCACTAGCTATTCCAGAAGTTTATTTGATGTTTTATTAACCTGTCAACTGTCACCTTACTTTTTGAGCGTAAATCTGACCTTAAATAGTTGTAAATCATGAATGCTATGAAATATACCTACGGTTGGTCTCTTTTTAAACACTTCATTAAAATGAAAGTGCAAAAAGTTACAAGTTAGTTCACTGAAATGCAAGTGTACTACTAAACATTATTTCATATAAAAAAATGTTTTCAAAGTTTTTTGACTCTTATTAGATAATCAAAGCCTTGCGTCAAAACAAGTTGTTCAAAATTTGAAAGTTGATTTCAAAACTGAGCCTGCTAACAGGTTTTAAAATACTATTGCCATCATAACATTGTCCAATTTCAAAACTGTTTTCACAGGTTGAATGATTTACTACATCTTATATTTTAATACATAAAAGATTAGTACTTCTTCAGTATCAAGAAAAATTCCTTGTGTCTAAGCACACTTGGCAAAAAATCTCTTTCTGATTCGGATATAGATGTATCCATAATGGTTTATGATTGAAAATTCAGTTTATTTTTTAATCATAATTGATCTTTGACTCACTGAATGTAGTTTCACACTAGTAAAATGGGTTGTAAACTGCGTTTCATGTACTTTGAAGATGATCATATTTTACCCTTCCACGCAAAGATGCGTTTCATAATTTCTATTGATGGTTTTGTTTTTTGTCCATAGTCGGCAATGTTTAATGTGAGTTCTGTATGTTGTTTAAAGGATCACCGCAACACCCGGCGGTAAACCCAACAAGACACGTGTCATCTGGGGTAAAGTCACACGGGCTCATGGAAACAGTGGAATGGTTCGTGCCAAGTTCAAGAGCAATCTTCCTGCAAAGGCTATGGGGCACAGGATCCGTGTGGTAAGGGTCTTAAAGTTTCTCTCTGGCTTTAAGTATCAGTAGCTACGTTTACATGGACACAATCGGATTGAAATCAATACGATTGATGAATCCGATCAAGGTGTTTACATGAATGATAAATAAAGTGATCGGGTTGATGTGCGCGTTTATACATCACAAGATTCAAATCGCAATTGATTCTTTGCCATGCGCACACTGCACGAATATGCCACTGTTCACACATAAGCATAACTATTCTCCCCTATTGGTTCTGTATTTGTTTTAAACAACAGACTTAATTTGTATCCGTCTCTGGTCATGATTTGGAGACGATGAGCATGAACCATTTTGCCGTGCTGATTGTATTTATCACGCAGTAAAACCCCGCGCCCAAAAGTCGTGTGTGGATGAGAATGTAAAACAAGCACTGGTTGGACGTTGTCCTGCTTCACTTCACAGACATGGAGTGAAATGAGAATTGTTTTAATAACGGAACATTCGTTTATATGACGCTTTATTCAACAGGAAGAACAGCTCGTTCCGTGCGTCATACGTCATTACGCTATTTCAACGTCGTTGCACATGCGCGGTCCTTTTAGTTTCGGTTTTCAATCCGATCAAGTGTTTACATGTTCTCTCGCTCGGATTACAAAAGGAGTAAACCACCCCCTTTCAATCCGATCGAAATTCTAGTCGGATCGATTAAGGTGTTTACATGAAGGTTTTTAGTCCGATTGAGCCGTCAATCCGATTACAAGGGTCCATGTAAACGCAGCTAGTGACTCTCCCTGGTTATACTTTGTGTTGGACAGGTCCATTTTAATTTGCCCACTATATGCTTGCCTTTATTATGTGGCAGTGGGTTCAAGACAGTGCTGTTGTTCCCTTAGTGCCACCTTTAAAGGGGCTTTAATACTGGGCATGTTTGAAATGAGCGCCATCCGAGCGCGATTGTTTCTGGTGCGTCCGGTTTCACACTCGGTTTGATTTTATCAAACCCTAGTGCATTTGCGTGCATCTTGAGTTGTCACAAGTATGCATGCCACACATTGTAGGGCTCTTAAGCGTGACTCATTGAGCGTGACAGTTACTCATTTCGGTCTTTTGTCACGCACACCCGCCACACATTGTATTTCTCACACAGAAAAACTATTTATAATATATTTAATATGCCGCAGCGCCCAAATTGTCTCTGGCCGCGCCACTCTCACAGGAATCAAGCACGCGCGTCTCCCCTGCTCTCGTCACACTGCAGGCTCACTCTCGCTCGTACCCCAGGTAAATCATCAGCACTATCATCCCTTACATGCGTGTTATTGAACTAGATGCTTAGTTATCGGCTAAAACGCATGCACGGGTTTAGGGATGGGCAAAGATTAATCGCATCCAAAATAAAAGTTTGTGTTTACATAATATATGTGTGTGTATAATTAATTTGTATGCATGTATATATTTAAGAAAAATGTGTTATTAATATATCAAATATTTAAATATAATATTAATTGTGAATAAATGTATATAAAATATATAAATGCACATATTTCTTAAATATATACATGCATATGTGGGTATTTATATATACAAATTAATTATACACACTACACAAACATATACTATGTATACACAAACTTTTATTTTGGATGCGACTAATCGTTGCCCATCCCTACACGGGTTACTTCACATGATTTCACGTGAATCGCACTACAGTTGGAGTGCAATCACACATGACCGCTTTCACATTAGCAGTTTTTAATGCGAACCTTGCCCTGTTTCAAACTAAACTTGCCACTGTTAAAGCACCCTGAATCTAAATCGCTACTGACTCGTTTGTTCATTTGTATATTGTTTTATGTTGTGGTGTCATCAGCTTTATTGTGAAGGGCTGTCATTTAAATTAATTAATCTTCATGCAGTATATTGAACCAGAGAAACTGCATTTCAGGTTAGATATCTAGAATGGAGGAATTTTAAAGTGGATGTCTAAAATCGCTGATTTCAAGAACAGTAAAACTAAAACATAATTTTATAGGGTTTTTATAGTTCACACATGCCGCCTTTATTTATTAGTGTAACAAGCACACATGAGAAGGAATTTTGGTAAATCTTTTTGCTAGGTAGTCAACCAAAGAAATCCTTAGTCGACCAAGGTCTTGTCCTGCACAACGATTAGTCAACTAAAAAAAATTATTACATTTTTTTAGACAATTGTCATAGAGCATTTATGAAACAACAATGAAAAAACATCAAAAATAAATAACTATAATAATAATGAAATTCTTTGAAAATTAACTTTTTTTTTTTTTTACTGCAAAAAGTGAGGAGCTCTGTCCAAGGTCTATGGTGACAGTCACAATCGCGCACCTGATTACACCAAATGCTACAAAAAACTGCTATCTGCAACATAATGAAAAATCAAAGCTCTCGTTTATACAGGCTGTGTTCTTCTTTACTTACAAACCTATGGGTTAACTTTTGTCCAGCCGATCTAGCCATCTAGGCCTTTTAAAACAACACACACAAAAAACAAAATAGCCTTAAAATTAATCTGAAATAGGCTGTGTTGTAAGAAGGCATATAGGTTTATTTTCATTTTGTTACATTATTTAAGCTATTTTCAAATGCGTCTAGTGTACAAATAAAAACAAACATATTTAGAAAACACAATCTGAGTCAGCATGATAAAGCCGTTAAAAGGGCTGATCACATCTTTTGCGTGCTCAAGTTCGATTTCAAATGTAGGCACGCGATGTGGACCAACACGATCGCCTACCTCCACAAAAATGTAGCCAGACAAAAGATTTGGATTTCTTGGACATTTTGTCGACTAAACAAGTAGCGTGAACTGAATGAATACAGCGAAACTACCTACCGGTACATCCCTTACTGAGCGCGAGCAGCAGCGCAGCCAGACACAGGCGCGGTTCCCGAGTGTATTATGTGTGTGCGCTAAACTGTGGCGCAGTTACAAAAAATAGCTTAAATTAAAGCATTTAAAGTTCGGGATAAACCAGGCTAATTATATTTAGAATACAGTAATAAATAACTGCTTTATAAAGGAATAAATATCAAGAAAGAAAAAAAAAATGCGACTGGTCGACCAATAAGAATGTCAGTTAACCAAAACGGCATCGACTGATTACTCGACTAAACGACTAAAGTTGACAGCCCTACTTTTTACTTGATGTGATGTTTGTGCCCAAATGCATACTCTTCTCCTTTTGTAATCTTTTGTAATCACGATGTGTAAGGATGTACTAAATACGAAAAAGCTTCTTTGTTTTGTTTAGAGATGATAAATGTATTGTTTATCCCCCCCCCCCCCCCTTCTGTCGTGTAAACAATCTGTTTCAAAAAAGGGGAAGCTGTTGTCCATGCATGTCCTGATGCAACTACCCTCGTCTGTTGACTGGTTAAAATGTAAAAATTATAATTTTGTTGAACGAATTACTAATTTTTTGCTTCTCTTTTTTCAGATGCTGTACCCATCCCGTGTGTAACCTGCTTTTGTGTACAGACAATAAAAAATTTGATCCAAAAATTCCTTCTGTGGTCTTTTCACAACTTTAACTTTCTTCAGTTTATAAAGTGTTCAATTCCCTGCAACCGATTTAGAGTCTTGATGCCTTCGTTTTGTTTTCAGTCAAATATTGAAAGCAACACCTGAGAAATGTATATTTGTATCAAGCTGGATTTACTGAGGAACTAACATTTTAGGAGGATCATTTGTAGAACTGAAAAGAGTGCAATTAAGGGAAGCAACCACTATCATAATTAACACTTCCTTTCTTGGCACTTGCCCCATTTACAAGAACATTTTGTTGGGATTATCATAGACCAGTTCTGAATTAAGAAACGCATACTATTTCTGCTGTAGATACGGTAAAAGTAGTACGAGTAGTGTACTGGTGGTGTGTGGCAAGGCAATGCATGCATAAAGTAAATCTAGAAATAATAAGGATATTGATTAAGAGAAACTGTGGAACCTATGATTTTAATTTTTAGTTTTATCATAGCCCTAAAACCGTATTCACTTTATAGCCCTTAATCCTGTAATTGTGGACAAATGTGGGCACAGAGGACTCGAGTGTGATCCAAATTTTTATTTAATATTATAAATGTTTTATCATTGTCTTCGATAAAGTTTTGTCTATCCTTTTATTTTTATTTTGGGGGTATTTTTTAATTTATTTACTTCAAAAAGTGCCACATTTTCTGTATAAATTATTGTATGTATTATATGTAAATTAATTAACTATTTCCTTTTTTGTTTAACTACATTAAAATATCATTCCAATAAGTTCTTAGAGCTAAAACCTAAAGATGAAGTCACTTTGCTCTCACCTTGTCTTATTTTGGCATATTTTAGAATGCTCTTAATTACAGTTTTTCCCATTCATATCTATGGGTGCCCATTTTTGACCCAAATACAAGATTTTTTTTCACCCACTTAACATTGTAGAGTTGAGTCAAAAGGCTTTTCAAAAGGTTTGTTCAGGAGGCAAACTTAGGAAAAGTAGCCAAGTCTTGTACCGCTCAGATCAAGGGTGTTATTTTTAAAAATAAATCAAAACAATTTTTCCCCACATTTGTCCAGAATACTGTTTTAGGGTTAACTGAGTTTTTAAGTGTAGCTGGAAAGTGGCATTAATTAAATAAGCCTTGTACAACACACAATGTCACTTAGTGCTAAGACAACCATAATATACAACAAGTTGATTTATAACACACTTTAAAAAAAAAAAAAAAAACTTGTAGTAAATTCAGATGTTCAGCTAAGGCTGAATCCCAATTCACCCCTCAAATGGATGATGTTACTGTACAGAACCACTGTATTGAACTGATGAGCGGAGTACATATAGTATGGACACATTTTTGTAGTTTCAGATGAAACGGCAAACGGAGAGGAAAGATGTCCGCATATTGTGCGGTTTCATTATCGCACTGTACTTTCTTCTATGGTAAAATTCCATTCCAGAGCCTCAGGCTTATCATCACGTTGTAATACTAGCTGTTTGACTGCAGAGGATGCGCGTCCCTTTCACTCGCACATTAAGCCCCGCCCATTTACAGAGCTGTGACGCATTCATTGGGTAGGGTATTGTGGGTGCCGTAGTTCCAACACATCGGCACTTGAACGATGTTAATTTGTAGTAGAATTCCTTTACACTACATTTCCCAGAACGACCTCCACCCGAATCCTTCAAATAGCTGGTTTATAACGAAGTTGTTTTGCTTCATCCGCTGTTGAAGATCCGCAGACCTACCAGAGGAACAGGTATCTGCTGCAATGTACACATTTATCTTTTATTCCGTATGCAAAATAAGATTTATTACAGCATGTTTTGCATGTTTAAGCATTTGTAAATCTGACACTCTACTTGAAAAAAAATATTTTAAAATGTAATTCATTTTAACTTAATTTGACATGTTCTGTCAAATGGTTATACTGACTCTTTAAAGATTATAACGTTACCAAAAACTAAAAGGCGTCTTGCGTTTGAATATTGCGATGTTTTTATTGCCAACGTCTTGCTCGGTGTTTTATATCCTGATGTAGGTGACATCTATTGTCTCAGTAGTTCTGATGATGCACTAGACGGGATTTTAAAACGCATTTAATTTATGATGTAGATGTTATTGTTGATGATATCATGATGTATAAATGTAGTCAATGAGACATAGCTGCTTCAGAATAAGTGGGGAAATTATCTCTAACAAACGCATTTATGGGGTTATTATAACAAGAATTGTATTATTTATGGTGTTCTCTTGTCATAATAAAACGACAGATATTATATTATCATGTAACGTTAAATATATATCTCCCCATGGTCTGTTTAGTCAAAACAAAACAAAAAATCTGTAGTAGATGTCCTTGTTTGAAACCCGTGGGCCGTGTGGTCTGTTGTTTTCAGTCATATATTGTCGGGAACTGTTTGTTCTCTTCTGTCTGGAGGAGATGCGAGACCTATTACATTCAAATAAACAGGATAAATGATTTAATAATGTAGGCATCATTTGTACTTTTATTGTGTCTTACGAAAATGTAAGACACAATAGTCGCCTAATATCGCTCTCACTCTTCATCAATCAATGGATTGATGTTTATATTCATTCACGGCATCGTCATGATTGTTTAACATATTGACCGTGTTTCAAAGTCTAGTGAGGTGTCTGTCTGTTTAGTCAACATGATAAAGTAGCAAAATGTTTTGTGCATCATAGACGGGGAGTCACGTGAATCCTGTCAAGAACGTGTCCGGACATATCGCTTAAGTAATACATTATATTTTGCCTAAAGGAAATGAAGTCTATTTGTAGCACTGCTAAGATGTTGTGCATTATGACATCGTTACATAAGAATTGAGCACATTTCCCCCTAATTTTCATTACTGTAATGCAATAAAATAAAGTTCTCATTACTGTAGTGTTCAAAAATAAGTGTCTACGTAGTTTTTTATAAATACACCATGATTCAAATGAAATAAATTGTTTAATTCTCGATTAAATTCGTGGACTCGATTTTAAAAAGTCGTCGATTGCATTTTACCCGAGTCGAGTTACCGGAAAAATAGCAGAAGTGTTTCATCTGACGAACGAGAATCCATGACATGAAGCGCCTTTTTAGACCATTGTCTATTATTTTTGCAAAAAAATTAATTGATTACTCGATCAATCATCAAAATAATCGACTGATTACTCGATTGCCAAAATAACAACATTGTTGACAACATTAGATAACATTTACTGGAATTAATATTGGATAGTTACGTTTGTCCACTATTAAAATCAGTGGGGTCAAAAACAGCATTGGACTACATTTTTATGGTTAAAAAAACACAGAGACATCTTCTTTTGTGTGACAAAGTCTAATAGGTTTGACATGAGGGTGCATAAATGGTAACAGGGTTTTTATTTTTGAGTGAACTGTGCCTTTCACATTTAAAGGCTATAATTTACCTACAACAATGCCCTCCTGTCAGACTTCAAGGGAAGACTTAAATGTGATTAAAGGGGATTTGCGCATATAATCTGCTCAATCAATGCTGACTAAATAAGAGTAACATTTCCATTCAAGTTAATAACCACTTCTTCTCTCATCTGCTTAGATTTGGTGACTTTGACAAGATAAAGATCAGAGTTGAAGCAACAAAAGCGCTCCTATGTTGGTACAAGAAGATGAAAGGACATGATTTGGGAAAGGACTGTCTGGCATCTGGTTCTGCGTACAGGGCCGTATCGTCCAGAGAGACCTTACCCGGAACTGAAGAGGACCATTATGAGCTGTCTAAAGTGCAGGTTAGTCCGTCAAATGCATGTCATTTATTGAGCTTTTTCAGATGTTTGAAATTAGTTACCTTCAAAACACCATACAAGCAAGCATTAAAATATAACACGCATAATACCGCCTCTCAGCTCTAACAAATGCAATCAATTCTTACTTGTACACATTTAAAAAACAAAAATCATGATTTTTTTTTTATTGTTGGACCAAAGCTCTTTGCCTTAAGGCCCTTGCACACGTCCCAAATTTTACGTTAAAATATAAATACGCCCTCACACTCATGCTTGCACACTGCCTTTGAAACTTTCGTCCGTCATAAAAAAAATTCGGATCGTGTTCGATTTTCTGCGTTTTTCACATCCGTATCAAGCAGTTTAAATGGTGTTTTGACAATTCAGACTCATAGCCACTGAATGAATCACGAATACGAAAAAACGCAAATGAAAATTTCAGACTCAGTGTGCAGGGGGCATTTAAAGTGCGGTCAAGTTCATTGTTGCTCGGGGAAAATTAAATTCGCTGGCGTAATCCAATGGGAATCTGCGCAATCAGGAGTTTCACGTGATTTTACCATTCAAACGTTGCTCAATTTCAAGCTAGCCACACAAATTTGCCACATTGACCAACACAAAGCTGCTTAGTTTGAAAGTGACACTTCATGTGAATGGCATTTTGCAGAAATTTCGTTAATGTGATCATACCTTTCAGAAGTATTAAAGGAATCCTTAAAGTCTTTAGGTGGAATCCGACTCTTGAAATTCCTTGCAAGTTTCCATCGGGATATATTCTCCTCTTCACATTTACTCTAGCAATTTTGAAAACACCCACCTGACCCCTAAATATATTGCCTCGAGAGTTTTAAATTTAGAGATTGAATGCGTTTCTGTACTAAGGGATTTCTGGACTGAATGTTTTGTTTTCCCAATTATTTGCAAGTCATGTGTCGGCTGAGAGTTCCCCCAAAAATGAAAAGTTCAAAAAATATTCACGTCGATCCAAACGAAAGCTTTACAGGTTTGGAAGGACATGAGGGTGATAAATGTTTACAGTGTTTTCATTTCTGAGTGAACTGTGCTTTTAACATTAAAATGCTGCGGCTGTTGTTTGTTGGTATAGGTAGCCAAGCCTTTTGTGTGTTGCACTCCTGCCGTCAGCATTCGTCAGCATGTTAAGAGAGAGTCCTGTACTGCCCACAATTTTCTTTGTCTTTTTCCATCAAGCTACCTTTCTCTCTCTCTCTGTATCTCTCAGCCACTCACTAGGGATGCCGTGTGTGCGCAGTGATTGGCTGCTCACCCGTGTATTTAGAAGCTGGGTCTGTTTACATAATCTAGCCCCACCCATTTTGGCACCGACAGCCAATTGCAATCTTGAGTTCCGGTGATGCGTGCAGCAGCCTTGCCTGCTGATAGGCTAAAGACCCCCTCAGCGCTCAGGCAAGCTGTGTGTGTTTGTGCAACGTGAGTGTGTTAGAGGGACATGGGAAGAAGAGCAGTGAGGACGGGAGGGGAGGGGAACACCCCGCACGTGCTGAGGAGCCTTGCAAAACGCTTCACGCCAGGCTTCTCTCATTCATCTAATCCATCTTTCTTAGGGGTTGCTCTGTAGCGTAAGGCTCACCTCGAGGCACTTGAACATGAATGTTACATAAATAATGTGATGCATTACATTGTTGTGTAAGTGTGTCGTGGTGCACGCGTTTAACAATTTACTCCCTGTCCATTTCTTTACTTGTGTGTTTTCCAGTAGCTGAGCTCTCGTTCTCAGTGTGTCTTTGGTTTCTAGATCATTATGTGCTTGTTCCCACATTGCATTCTGATCAGTCCCAGATAACGATTGGTCTTTTTTAAGCCTGTTTCCCATGAGAGCTTGTGATTAGAAATGCTAAAGCTGGGCTAATTCATGGCTGAGAAGAAGAAAATTAGCTGTGTGTATTTCTGCTCTGTCTCTTTCTGTCAGAAGCGTACTATAGCATGGACATCTGTGAATGTGAAATCTGCAGCTAATATATTTGACAAGAAACTTGCTCCCAGTGCTTTAAACCCTCGTAACGCTTCAGTATTTTACTAAAGATAAACAGATCTGCTCCCGTAGACAGTATTAATTCAAGTCTGCATCATTGAGGGCAGTCGTCTGTTAATGCTTGAAACAATCAAACCCGTTTGTGTAAAACGTGTAAAAATTTGTAAAAATAAAAGTTATTTTCTAGTACTTCCACTTTTGTAATCGTGAATCGGCATATTCAAGTAAAATGGTTTGGTTTTCATTCATCGGGAACTGATACAAAGTGTATAAGTGGTTGTTTTATAGCTACTTGATATCGGAGTGAGAGATATGCTCCTCTCTTCTGCTAGTATCATTTTATTTTTTGTGGAGGAATGAGACATGGAAGCTAAACATCGAGTTTTATGCTAGTCACCCCAATTCTAATTAAATTAATAAAAGCGCTTTCTTTGTTCTTTTAGACATGAGCAGCATTTGGGAACGCAACACACACCAACCTTCATCACAAATTATTTCAGGACTTCCTGTGGTTTTCTGTAAAAATAGAAGGTTGTATGGTTTAACGCTTGAAAAGTAGAAATTAAGTATTTTTATTTTTCCGACAAAACAACAGAAGCAGAAAGTGCTACACTGGTGTCTTTACATAGCCACTGGTGCTCAACTGGAGGTAAACAGATGAAATACTCCAAGGCACTTTATTAATTAAAAAGTTAATTAAAGGCTTTTTACTAGGGGTGTAACGAGACCCTCGTGTCATGATTCGATACATATCACGATACTGAACTCACAATATGATATTATTGCGATACTCCTAGACATATGGTAAAAGGTTAACAAAAAATGTACTGTTGATTAAAATGCTAAATTTGATATTACATTATGGGTTTAAATGAATAGGCTTGGACTCTGTGCTTGTAACCCAAGGACAATGGGGACATCCGAATAACAATATTCATGATTCTGAAGCTGAAAATGCAGAATAATTTTAGACGAATATTCTTGCTCTTTTTCTGACTAGATATATTTAGATATTTAAAATAATGTTGGACACTTTTTACTGGTCAAGTTACAGAAGTCATTTTGCATTATCAGAAACCACAAATATTCCCCCATTGCATTATTATACATTATAAATCAACATTATAGTAGTTTAATGTAGTACTGACACTAAAACTCTGAAAACTTTCATTTTTTGTCACACAGTAATTTTTATTTTTACTATCCACGACACGTATTGTTGCATTTTTGTATTGTGATGCATTGTGGCACGATATATTGTTACACCCCTACTCACTCAGTGTCTTGGAGTATTTTGTCTTCATAACTAGAATTTTATTTTACAGTCAAATATTATAATAATAATATTTCTTATTTTGTTTTTGTCTTGTAATTATTATTAGTAGTAGTAATATTTATAACAATAGGCTAAGTATTATTATTATTAATTTATAGATGTATTGATCATAAACTTTTGGCCAAATTGTTCAGCCTTACAAACAACCACAGAAAACCTGGAAATGTTTCTCATCCTCAGTTGTTTTTAGTTCCTCACACCTGTTTCTGTTCAGCTTATTACCTCTCCCCATTAAAGGGATAGTTCACCCAAAAATGTGAACTATCCCTTTAAGCATTGAGTTCTTTTTGTTCATTATTCGGTCTCGTTTGCATTTGTGTTGTGGTTGTAAATTATTTCCTAGTTATTATCCTGCATGTTTCCTTTTGATTTTGTTTAATAAAAGGGACTATTGTGAAGTTTCCATCGTCGTGTGCTTTGTTTAAGCCACACACCTCGTGAAGGAACCAGGAACAGAGCAGGCCGTTCGTCTGCCCTGTTTGGAGGAAGGGAATAATAATCTCGAAGACCACACCAGTGACTTTCTAGACCTGGCATACCAATTTCCCTGACTATTTTTCGAACAAGCCTAAATGAGTGGTGTAAGGCACGACTACCTGGTGTTGGTCCTCGAGGGATTTTCGCTGCGTTTGTGGAGTGGTTGCTGGTAAACAATGGATCGGTTTGCACCATTTGCCCCGAGGAGTACGTCACCAGTCCCTCTCTGAGCGGAGCGAACTCCTGAGCGAGCCAGATGGAAAGACTGAGCCAACCATCGGCCCAGAACCTGAACATTGAACACCGCAACGAGTCTGACCAGTTGCCGTCCCCCTGTGGCTGCTCACGGTGTACGAGGGAATGGAGGAAAGCCATTTTAATGTGTTTAACTAGGAATTAAATAATGTAAAATGCTTAAACAGGAGTCTGACTGCATGTTTCTGTTGTATTTTCTTTAATAAAAAGAACTATTGTGAACTCTCTGTTGTCGTGTGCTTTGTTAAAGCCATACACCTCGTGACTTCGAATATTGCAATTAGATATTTTTCCTCCAAATCGTGCAGCCTCCTCAAAAGCAGTTGATTATAGAAAAATGAATTTTACTTGAATTGGGCCGATTTTTAGAACTATACTGGAATAACTATAATGATTCCATTGCTTTAACTCTTTTCCCGACATTAGTGAAATTTTCCGCGATCTTTGCCACAGCTTTTTTGATAGAATTTTCCAGCAATCCACGTTTTCAAAGTTACATGGATTATGCATCTTCAGAAAGAGTACACAATCTCCGCATCAAAACACAGGCGAAGAAGCAGCAGAAACAAGTGATAGAAGCATTGCGTAAAATAACACGATCATCAAATATTAAACGGCGTATAAATCAAAACTAATGTTACTGAATGAAGTGTCGACCCAAGACTGTGAAGCTTTGGGGGTGTTAATTGACTCGATCTACTCCATCTGTTTTTTTTGTTTTTTTTTCATGAACCTACCCACATTCAAGTGTAAAAAAATTGCACGAGGAATTATTTTTTGTTTGTTTGCTTGATTAAAGGAGAACTCCGGTCAATTTTAACATTTGAGCTCATTTTTTTTGTACATTTGGAGTGCCGTCAGTACAGACAAAAACGATTTTCCTGTTTTCGGTCAAAGTCCACAGTAGTCGATTGTCGCCCGAACTCGACTGAAAACAGGAAGTAAATAGAGGTATGTGAGCTGGCTGAATTAACATCATTTTTATTAATATCTTTCACTAGAACCAGACCGATTTATCGGCAGACCGATATTATCGGCCGATATTAGGCATTTTTCAAACTATCGGTATCGGCAGTTATAATGGCCGATAAATGAATATTTAAAAAATAAAATAAAAACGGACGAAACACGCTTGAACCATGTCATGAGTGTTGGAGTTGTATAGTTTGTCCACCAGAGGGCACTCTACACCGTTCCTGTTGGCAACACTCGTTGAGTTGGGCACGAGACATGCATTGCTTGAATAACAATTAAAAGAACATCCCCATCGGTTCTCTTAACTCAAATAAGCATGACAAAATTTGTGACTATCCAGTCCAGTTTAAAAAAAGTAAAAAAAATATCGGCCAATATATCGGAATATCGGATTTTAAAACCCAAAAATATTTGTATCGGTATCGGCCTTCAAAATCCTTTGTCGGTCGGGCTCAATCTTTCACATCTACTGCAGTCAGATTGACCGTGGTCACTCTTAATAACACCCCTCACATGGCTGTACACTCGTAATGACAAATCAAGGATGTTAAGAGGCTAAACGCAGGTTTAGAATATGCCCCATTGAAGTCAACAGGGTGCGAATTTTAAAAAGAGGATAACACGGTGTAGGCAACACCGATTTTTGTCGTTTTTGTCTGTACTGACAGCACTCCAAATGTACAATGTTAAAATTGACTGGAGTTCTCGTTTAAAAGCAGATGTTTAGTTCTTTCTTTTGATATATTGCATGTTTAGATGTTCATACAACAAAATATACTGGGAATGATGTAAGTTTTGTGAAAATTTACTGTTGAAAACCATTAAACATTCAATAAGACGAAGGATGCATTATGTACAGGAGTATCCTGAAACAATGCAGAAATGGCTGTTTGGCTCTTGGTTCATCTGCCTGTGTATTCTATTCTTGGTGATGTCTATTAGATGTACGGATGCACGATATATCGGCCACCATATCGGTATCGGCCGATATTTGTTCATTTTAATGTTATCGTTATCGGCCCGATAATAAAATTTGGCTGATATATTGAAGCTGATAAATAATTAATTATTTCCTTCAACACTTGACACCTGAGACACTTAAGATGCACACTGTTCAACATGATTGGTCTTAATTGCTTGAAATATGATTGGAATCAAAAAGGAAAATATAGTTAAATCTGCTGTCATATCGGCTACATGAAATTATAATAAGAACGTTATAATTGTGTTAGGGAACGGATTTTAATTGTGAGACTTTTGTTTTTGCAATCAGCCTTTCAAAAATTATTTTTAAAAAAATGGATTTAGATTTTTCGGCCGATATATCGGTTATCGGCTTTTAAATATAAAAAATATCATTATCGGTATAGGCCAAAATGTTCATATTGGTGCATCCCTAATTAGATGTTTTATTTAAAAAATTTTTTTCTCTCATTTTGGTAGATTGTTGTAGATTAGTAGCTGACTTCAGTTGAGCGTAGTTTGTTTGGTGATATCACCAGCGGTGTTTGAAGATTCCTGTCCTGTGAGGCTTTAAAGTACATGCTGTTCCCTTTAGAGGGGCTGATCCGGCTGGCTTTTTCTGCCTCTCTTGGTTTTAAAAGATTTTAGAGCCTGCCTTTGCTTACACACACATATAAACAGACACACACTCTGCATGCTCAGAACGCTCGGCCTGGATGTCGGCAGAATACGCCACAGTACTCGTCACCAACGGCAACGGCCCATATAATAGGCTGTTGTCTCAGCTGGCTGCGGGCAGCACACACTTTATTGTTGTCTGGCCTGTATTAAAATGTGTTTTATTAGAGTGGTCATTGGCACATGTCACAGTGTGTAATTGCACGTGGGGTCAAGTAGATTTGATTAAGGCAAGACATTACAAACCACTGTTTTTATGGTCAGGTTTGATATTTTGGGCTATTTTGCTTCCATAACATGTCATATTTCAGACTAGTGAAAAGAAAATACACATTTAAGTGTTTATAGTATTACACTTTATCTATTTGCTTCTGTAGATTTCAGTTTGCATTTTTTTTTCCCATTCGCCTGATTATGTTTCAAATATGGTTAAAAATTTGGGTGTTTTTTTTCCGTCTGTTGACAGTATTTTTTTATTTATGTGATTAAAAAGGGATAAAAATAAATATCCAAAACCCCCTTAACTCATAAAGATTATGTAAACAAAATTAAACATATTTTAATAAATGCATATCTAATTCGATAATGCCTCATTTTCACATTTAAAGACACTATGAAATCAAAATGGACAATTGTTGTTTATGGAATATTTTTTATAAAATAAGTTATCAACATAACTTCCCGTCCCTCTTGCAGCGACTCGTCTTATCTTCTCTGATGATGTGTTTATTGGTGTGAGGGACACCCTGTCACTCACATGACATCGGCCAATAGCAAACCACGACCATCCAATCAATTCCCCACAGACAAAATCAAGTCCTGCCCCACAGTTTTGGATAAACAAAACATATCACAATTTTAGTTTTTAATGACTTTAAACAAACAGTAGTAAATGTACTGATTAATCAGGTGGGGAATGTATGATGATGTCTCTTAGTCCCCTGTAGTGTCATGCCTTAAAGGACAACTCCGGCGCAAAACGAACCTTTGGTCTAATTGCACATTGTTACCTATTCAACCGTTATCTGAGATTTTTTTTCATGATTGCCGAATCTAAATAGTTTTATCTATTAAAACAGTTTAGCCTATAATGCTAGTATAACGCTAGTCTATAGGGCATAGAGTAATGACAAATAAAAATCGCTTTTTATTACCACTAACAAGGCTCAAAATAGCCCCACAGTAACACGGTAGCACAATAAGGATCCCTACATGCAAACCGAAGCATTGAGAACTTTGTCAGTGTCCATACAGTTTAATAAGAAGATATTTTATACACACAGTCAACTTCACGAATACAGGAAGAAGCCATCTTTAAAATATAGTCTCTACCAGTCGATCTACGAACGCTGATCCAAGTGCGCTGAACTGTGCAGAATCTTATATGGTCCATTGTTTACGGAAGAAACACAAACACGAACCATTTTCTTCTCTTTAATATGTACATGTTGCCTACTGTTCGCGCTCACATTATCACTTTATTCACATCTCACCAGCGCGCTTGGATCGGCGTTCGTAGATCGACTGGTAGAGACTATTTTTCAAAGATGGCTTCTTCCTGTATTCGCAAAGTTGACTGTGTGTATAAAATATCTTCTTATTAAACTGTTTGGACACTGACAAAGTTCTCAATGCTTCGGTTTGCATGTAGGGATCCTTATTGTGCTACCGTGTTACTGTGGGGCTATTTTGAGCCTTGTTAGTGGTAATAAAAAACGATTTTTATTTGTCATTACTCTATGCCCTATAGACTAGCGTTATACTAGCATTATAGGCTAAACTGTTTTTATAGATAAAACTATTTACATTCGGCAATCATGAAAAAAAATCTCAGATAACGGTTGACTAGGTAACAATGTGTAATTAGACCAAAGGTTCATTTTGCGCCGGAGTTGTCCTTTAAACAGTCTTGTAAACTATTTTGGCAGTAATTTGTTAAGCAAAAACACATGACTTTGAACGTCTGTAAGCAATTCTGGTCTTCATCAGCTGTCTGTGTTTAATGCCGCGTGCAGCACGAGACTGGAGGTTTTTTTACCCTTGGAATTATTGGACATTATGTGTTGCGTGGTTTCAGGAGTCTGACTGGTTTCCTTCCTCTGTTTTTTTTTTTTTTTTTCTGCTGATGATATTTGATCTTCCCCAATACATGCTGACAAACATGTCTTCTTTCATTTCCTGCCATAATTGTTTTGCATTGTCACATCTTTCCATGAAAAAGTGCTGAATGCAACGAATGCATTTTTTTAAAAAACCAAACAAACTGAAAGTTAAACACCTGATCTGCTGACGTTTCTCCCAGGATGCTTTTGAAACGGCAGCGAGAGCTGAGGGTGGCCTCTCATTGGATGGCGGCAATGCAGCTGACGCGAAAGAGTTGGAGGACGAAGTCGGGAGAAGCAAATACCACCACAGTGTCGGTGTGCTCAAGCCCATCCGCTCCACCAGCAAGTACGTACTAAAGTTACTGATGATTGCCTTTCATTTTTTACCTCTTGTAACCACAGCCACGTTCAAGTGATCTGAGGGCGAGGGCGCTTTGGTCTATAACCGTCACACCCCTACTTATATGTAAAATATTACGTTTAGACAGGGCCATAATGAGGGCAAAAACAACTGAACTGAACAACTGTAAAAAAGATAGAAATAGAAAATTTACTTTTTGATTCTCGAGTGCAAGTCACCATTGCGGTTTAATGCAAGTTACACTGATTCATGGTCCACAATAAGACAACACAGGAGATGAGAGAGCACAGTATAGACTTCTTTGCTGAATTTAAACAAAAGCAGCATTTGGGTAAAAAAACTATTAAAATGTCAGGGCACAGTGATTAAGTTCAAATACAGTTTCACGAGAATAGATTGTGTATACTGTATTGTGTCGCTGAGAAAGGCACGTAGGACTCACACTGGGTGGCCCTAATACAATTGGTAATAAAAAGAAGTGCAGATTAGGGACTAATCCATGTCTCTTGTCTGTTTCTCATTGTCATCACAGGTATCAACATCCAGTGGACAACGCCGGCCTCTTCTCTTTTATGACATTTAATTGGTTGACCTCGTTGGCTATGTTGGCCCATAAGAAGGGTCAGCTGTTTCTGGAGGATATATGGGCTGTGTCACAGTTCGAGAGTTGTGAGACCAATCGTCGCAGGTGAGTACTGATACGTCCTATCAAAGCACTCATCCAACTAAAATATATGTATATTCATACAAATATATATATATTCAGGCCTAGCAGGGGCAGCCTCCTCATATGGGGTACCAAAGTGGTTATACAGTAGGGCTGGGTATTTGATTCAATATGGAGTACTGTATATGTCAACAAAAAAATCTCACACAGCTAAAGCTGTAATCTATACAGGGGACCCTGTCAGTTGATGCATATCTAAGATTAAAATGAACAACAGAGTCCTAATTATTAAGTTCAGTTGCTATGTATTCAATTGTGAGCTGTAAACAAAAATTTCATTTAACAATTAGGATTTTTTTTCCCACATGATTTTCTGTCATAGAAACTTGTTTTCCTGACAGATTTATTCAGATAAGCATTCAATAATCAAAACATCACCAACAAGTTAAAGAAGTAGTTCACTTTTAAAAAAACTTTTGCTGATAATTTACTCACCCCCATGTCATCCAAGATGTCCATGTCTTTATTTCTTCAGTTGAAAAGAAATTAAGGTTTTTGATGAAAAAATTCCAGGATTTTCTCCATATAATGGACTTCAATGGGAACCAAACGGTTCAAGGTCCAAAAGACAGTTTCAGTGCAAACTGCGACCATTTGAGCTTATAAAACTTAAAACTTTGTTATTTATTTATTAAATGAGCGATTGTTTTGCTTGATAAGACCCTTATTCATCATCTGGAATCACCTTTGAACAGTTTGTAGTTTGCACTGAAACAGTCTTTTGGACCTTGAACCGTTTGGTTCCCATTGAAGTCCATTATACGGAGAAAAATGGAGAATGTTTTCATCAAAAACCTTAATTTCTTTTCGACTGAAGAAAGAAAGACATGGACATCTAGGAGTTTTTTTTTTTAAAGTGAACTACTCCTTTAAGTACAAATATAATGAATATGTAACGTAGTGCATTTATTTAACAAAATGCTCCCCTCTAGAGTTATTTTTTTAATTGACTAATGAGCTTTTCCTGGGGTAAGTGCAACATTGTTTATTAACTTTTTTTTTACTGATGTCTTCAACTTCAACTCTCAAATCAAATGGTTTTGCAGTGGTACTTCTTAACACTTTGGTTAGTGCTAAATGGACCTGGAGACAGGCTCGATTGGTAGATGCATTACATATGAACCCCTTCATTTCCACAGGCTGGCCGGGTTGTGGGATGAAGAAATCAGGACACGAGGGGAGGGGGCGTCTCTTCGTCGTGTGGTCTGGCATTTTTGCCGCACGCGTCTCCTGCTGTCCATCCTCTGCCTTATGGTTACTCAACTCGCAGGCTTCAGTGGCCCAGTAAGTAACACCATCTGAGCTCTGTTGTGTCTTTCTGGTGTCTTTTCTTCTCCCTCTGTCTATCTCTCCCACTCTTGCTCTATCTTTCTCCATCTGTCTATCTGTGTATTATTAGCTTTGTAGATCCACCTATCAAATACCTGCCCCTCTCAAATGCTCAGGTGAGTGTTCAGATGGGGAATTGAAGGTGTTACTGTGTTACATTGTCACTGGGCATCAGAACTGATCTGCTTGACATCAGTGATGTTTCCAGTGTGGCTCTTAAAACCATTTTATCAATTAATTTAACAATCAATGCTATTTATAAAGTGCCTTAATGATGACTTGTGCCAACACCAAAAGAGTATTACAACTTTTCCGCTCCTTTTTGCCATATAGTTAGACTTTCTCGTCATAAAACTTTAATAATTGAGATGTTACCATGTAATATTATGCAAGTATGTAATTTCTACGCCACTAACGGCACCAAATGGACCTGCAAATCTTTTTGAGCAGCCCAGCCGGATGTAATGACATCATCCAATAGAGTTCAACAGTCGGTAGAAACAATAACTTAGACAGACCTACTGTGAGCTCTGATTGTATATGCTATTTAGCCATCCGTTCGCATTATTATTATAATACGTCTTAAAATTAACGTCCTAATTTGTGGTGAAAAACTACATTACCCATGATGCTGTACAGAACATTCCACCAATCAGAGAGTTTCGGTGAGTCAATTGCGCCTAAACCTCTTGCAGGGAATGCCCACTCCCATGAAACGCAAATGATGTAATTGAGTCGATCAATAACTTTAAATGATTCCTTTTTAATTTTGATTGTCATTGGCAGTGCTTCATGGTTGCTCTTTCCCTTACTAAAGGCCCGTACACACCGGGACGAATATCAGCGCGCGTTATTCGTCAGTGTTTTTCAACGCGTTTTTTGTATTCACACCCAAGCGATTTTCTCTGACGATGAGCCGAGTGAACATGTAAATTCATTCCCTGACATTAGATGGCACCAATTTGCTCTGCAATACCACTCCATATCAGTTTTCTTTTATCAAGATGTTTGTAGTCCCTGTTGCGTTTGTCATATAGTTTTTTTTATGTTCTAGCACCAACGAGAACAGCAGCTCTAAATTCATCTTGCCTCGCATCTTCCTCGTCTTATTTCTTCCTGGCTGTGTACGTAGACGGCGACGCTACTTGGCGTATATCTTCTTCGCCCTTGCATATGTGTGCTCGGCAAGACCGTTTTGTGTTTTAGCGCCCCCAAGTTGTGTTTTACTGTAACTTCAGAAGCTCCAAACACGTGAGCAAAAGCGCCAATCTCATTGGTCGGATAGTTTTTAACGCAGCACGTCAAACTAAATAAACGAACCTGAGGCGTTTTTTTTTTTTTTAAATGACGCTTTTACGCGAGGTGTTTTACACGTCGGTGTGCACACAAGTTTGTTTAGTCACAAGGCGTTAAACGTTGGCGAATAACGTGTGCGAAATTTGTCCCGGTGTGAACAGGCCTTAAAGCTTTAAAGTTTACAGTCTTGTAACTTACTGTTGTATATCATCTCATAGCTGGTTGTTTCGGGTCATGGCGGATAACCCTTTAACAAAAATGTTTTCAAAAATCCCTTTGGATGAAATGAATGGAAAAATACTTTCGGAACAAACAGTATTAGGTGGGCGGGAGTAAAGTATTTTTCAGTTCTGCTTGGTGCTGCCAGTTGTGTAGAAGTGACACACTTCACCTTTAATCAAGTCTAATAGCTAAGGCCAAAATGATATTAATCTGAACCTTCCTGAAATTTTTGTAGTTCACTTTTTAAAAAAAACGTTTGCTGATAATTTACTCACCCTCATGTCATTCAAGATGTCCACGTCTTTCTTTCTTCAGTCGAAAAGAAATGAAGGTTTTTGATAAACATTCCAGGATTTTCTCCATATAATGGACTTCAATGGGAACCAAACGGTTCAGGGTCCAAATGAGAGTTTCAGTGCAGCTTCAAAGGGCTTTAAACGACACCAGACGATGAATAAGGGTCTTATCAAGCTAAAAGATTGGTCATTTTATAAGCACAAATGCTCGCCTTGCTCGACTCGGACTTGAACTCGAACTCCTTCTCAAAAATGAACTAATCTTTTTTCAAGTCATTTGGTTCATTCAACGAAATGACTCGAAAAAAGATTTGTTCATTTTGATGAACGAGTTTGAACAGGAGAGTCACGAACGCGCATCACAGAACAGAGCAAGGCGAGCATTTGAGCTTATAAAACTTAAACTTTGTTATTTATTTTTGAAATGACCGTTCGTTTCGCTATATAAGACCCTTATTTTTCGTCTGGAATCGTTTAAAGCCCTTTGAAGCTGCACTGAAACTCTCATTTGGACCATTTGGTTCCCATTGAAGTGCATTATATGGAGCAAAATCCTGGAATGTTTTTATCAAAAACCTTTCATCAAAAGTCATGGACATCTTGGATGACATGGGGGTGAGTAAATTATCAGCAAAAGAAAGTGAAAGATAAATGACTAATGAAGTTTCACTTCCAAAAACAACAACAATTTGGATTACACCTGTTAAAAAAAACTGCTGCTCGATGCCTGTGAAAGTTTCTGTTTGTCTGTTGCCTTCCAGGTACCAGGTGTTTTATATATGTGGTGTTATCATCATCGGGTAGATAATAAGGAAAGTATCTGTTCTTATGGCCCGCTATGAAATGATAGATTTGGGGTATAACTTAAGTCGAGGGGCATTGCATGTAGTCTAGCGTAGAGAGGATAGGCTAACATATTCTTCAAGGAGAGCTTCTGTCACTGTCCCACCAAGGGCGACACAGCAAGGCTCTGTCTCCTTCAATCTTTCGGAGAAAATCGGGTTGATCAAAATGCTTGGATTTCAATCTGTTTAATCATCCACTGACTTTTTCTCCCTGTTGTCTATATTTAGCAACTCCCTGTAGAACATCTCCTTGAAGAGATACCTGTCCTTGCTCTGATGACTGAGGTCAGGGGTGGTTTGTAAAGGAAGGTGGGTGTCTGTGGGAGTGGGTGGGGGGGTTCAGATTGGAGTTAGGGGTCAGAGGTCGCTGGGTCCCCATGTGTGTGACATGTGACAGAGGCTATTCTTTAGACTCCACAGGGTGTCCATTTAACGTGCGGGGCGAGCATACGGCAGGCAGAGCCGGTGAGGATTCCTGGGAGGTAAGGGCATGTTTCTTATGCAGGGCTGGATCAAGAGTTAATGCTGTTTGCTGCCCTTCTCTCTCTTTCTTTCCGTTTCCCCTCTCTCATTTGATCTCTGTAATTATTCGCATCTCATGTCGTGTTTTGAAATGATTCAGCGAACTGAATGTGTTAAGGTTGGGTAACTGGTTGTCAAACTGTGCAATGTGTGTCCGATGACGAATGTGGGCAAGATTTTGCGCCAATGGACATTTGATTCAGACTTCTCCAGATATCTGTCCCATACGCCAGCTCTTTGGCCCAACGGAAAACGGACTTGTGGGTTGTTGTTTTTTTTTTTGTTTTTTGTTTTTAATATCGCTGGGGTTTCTTGTTTTGGACTGAAACGCTCTCAACTTTGAGAGATCCATACAGGCAGTTTTCAGACCCACACCTTTTGTCCTCAATGTGTTGCTGGATTTTTGACCAATTTCACGGACACCTTTTCGGGCGACTATGTGGTGTAGATGGGTCTCGTAAGATGTGCGTCATTCAGGGCCCCGCTAACCTTGATTTAAGAGTAAATGGGACAGCTTTTAAGTGACGACAACTCGCAAATGGACTCTCAAAGAACTAGATGTGTGATTTTTCTTTTGGCATTATGTCTGAAATCATACTTTTCTGAAACAATGTCTTTTGTTTTTTCCTCTCACAAGTATTGATTTGCCTGATCCATGTTTTTTTTGTTGTTGTTGTTTTTTGATCTTTGTAAACCTTTAACTGCTGAATGTTTCAACTTTCAAGGTTAAATATTCAAGGTTTCATTAATAAAAGCAACCACATGGGTTTGCCCGTATTCCCAGTTTATGTGTGCATATCCTTGACTGCGTATGTGCATGATATTTTGAGAACAGTGTGTGTGCGACTGCGTGTGTGTGTGTGTTATGAACTGTGTTTTGTGCTTCCGCACTCTGCTACTAATGATTGATATAATTGATATTAATTTTCAGGTGTTAAAACAAAAGTACGTCTCCATCCTGTACCCCCAACCTGATGTGACTGTAGGTAAAAAGTCTTTGAATCCACAAACAAGGGGCATTATGTCCATGATTCACTTTGCTAAATGGTATTGTCTCTGTTCTTTTCCAAAGGCTAGAGAAAAGGGCCAAATAAGGTAAACTATTAGAACACAGGCTTGACATTGTCTCTCCAGTCCAGTGTTTTATGATGATGTCCCCGTACACACGTAGCATACAATCAATGATCACCTTTTTCTGCCGAATGACATATGTAATAGCAGAATGATGTTTTTTGTGATGAGGAAGGTCATAAAATGTTGTTTGAGTGTAATCATCGCAGTGGTGTGGTGCAATCGTATGTTCGTATCCTCAGTCACGCCTGCTGTGTCCTGTCGCCCCCTTGCTCGTCCTCCCTCTCCCCAGGCGTTTGTGGTGAGGCGGTTACTGGAGTACACGCAGAAGAGCGAACCCGACCTGCCCTACGGCCTGCTGTTGGTGCTGGGCCTCTTGGCCACCGAGCTGATTCGCTCCTGGTCCCTCGCCCTCACCTGGGGGCTGAACTACCGCACCGGCACCCGTCTGCGCGGAGCCGTCCTGACCATGGCCTTCCACAAGATACTGCGTCTGCGCAGCCTCCGGGAGAAGAGCATGGGACAGGTACGGTGTTGAGGGACAGACGAGGAGTTTTTTCGCATTAATGAGTTGGACATTGAGGAAGGTTAGGAGCAGATATCCTAGGGTGTTGAATGGTGAAGAGATGAAGAGTGAAAGAAAAAGAAGGTGATGGCCGCAAATATATTTCACGGTGGTATGCGTCGCACATCTTGCCAATGCTCGTGTCGCTTTTCTCTTCAGTTGATCAATATGTGCTCGAGTGACGGGCAGCGCATGTTTGAAGCCGCCGTGGTGGGCAGCCTGTTGGCTGGAGGCCCCCTGGTGGCCGTGCTGGGAATGGGATACAACTTGTCTGTGTTGGGGCCGACTTCTCTGCTGGGGTCTGCCGTTTTCATCCTCTTCTACCCGACCATGGTGAGGTTTTCGGTCCCTGCTTTGTCTCGTTTCTACCACCGGGAGTTGGCGTCGTAATGCCGCTGTTTTTCCTGTGCCGGTAGATGTTCAGCTCCAGGCTGACGGCATACTTCAGGAGGAAGGGTGTCGCCGTGACCGACCAGCGTGTTCAAAAGATGAATGAGATTCTGAACTACATCAAGTTCATTAAGATGTACGCCTGGGTTAAGGCGTTCTCACAAGCTGTACGAAGTAAGTTGTTGTTTTTTTGGCTTAGTGTTACATTTAAAATCATTGATATACCATTATTAATTCTAGTTTTAATTCTAGTAATTATCTTGTGTTTTTCTCATTTTTATTTGTGTTTTAAATATTTATAAATAAAGGCTGTCAAACGATCAATCGCGATTAATCGCATCCAAAATAAAAGTTTGTGTTTACATAGTATATGTGGGTGCACTGTGTATAGTTATTTTGTGTATATATATATATAAATACACACACATGCATGTATATTTAAGAAAAGAATATTATTTATATAAAATGTTTATATATAATATAAATTATATATAAATCTATATACATGAAAATATTTCTTAAATATATACAAGCATGTGTGTGTGTTTATATATATAAAATGATTATACACAGTGCATCCACATATATTATGTAAACACAAACTTTTATTTTGTATGCGATTAATCGCGATTAATCATTTGACAGCCCTATTTAAAATATGTCTATATATTTTAGTATCATTGATTTGATTTTTTTTTTTTTTACTTGCGTTTGGTTATAGTATTTTGTTAGTTTTTTTTTTTTTTTTTATTTATTTCTATTTACATTTTAATTTGTTAAAAGCAGTTTTTATAAAATTGTAGTTTTAGTTATTTTAGTACTACAAAAATGAGAAAATGATGTACACTAGTTTTTGTATATTTTTATTTAATTTAATGTTTGTTTTATTTCAAGTTTTTTGTTTTAGTTAACGGTGATAACCCTGGTTTGACTTATTTCTATGCATACGTTTTCGCTAATAATTGCGCACCATCAAACAGGAATTAGAGAGGAGGAGCGTCAGATCTTGGAAAAAACAGGATATTTTCAGAGCATCACAGTTGGCGTGGCACCTATCGTCGTTGTGATTGCCAGTGTGGCGACGTTCTCCACCCACATGTTGCTAGGCTATGACCTTACCGCTGCACAGGTGGGGTTACAGTCCTTGTTTTGAAGTTTAATCATTACCAGAGTATTAATGAACTCATGCATTGACTCTTTACTTCTTCTTCTTTTTGTCTAGGCATTTACTGTTGTCACTGTTTTCAATTCCATGACCTTTGCACTGAAGGTCACCCCATTTTCTGTCAAATCTCTCTCGGAGGCATCTGTCGCCATTGATAGGTTCAAGGTAAGCTTTCTGTACCTCTTTCTACAAATAGTCACTTTCACCTCTGTCAAGATTTTCTCTGTCCTTTTAGTGTGTGTTTTGCCTAGTGTTATCAAGGCACACACTGTAAATCCAGGTGTTGGAGCAGGTGGTATATTCAGGTGTTTGAGTTGGTCCAAATAGATGATCTTGGGGATTTGGCTGAATGAGATAGGAATGGGGCTGTTCTTCTCAGAATAATGCCACATTGAAAAGCTCCAGTTGCCACCCAGCTCACCCTCATTACACAGATTATATATTTGGGTAACACTTTACTTGAAGGGGTGTGCGTAAAACCAACTTGACTCCAGTGATTATGTATTTTTTTAAGGCCAACCTGGAAAGCATCACACTGGATTTTTCCATTGGCTTTTGGATTATTGCAGAAAATAAGCTCTCTGACCAACCGTTTATGTTTCTTACATGTGTTGTTCAATCATGATAATCTTCACAAATTAATTTTGAAGCTTAAATACAATCCCCAGAATTAAAAAGCCAAATTTAGTCAATGAACAAACTATTCCACAGTCTTGACTTCATCGTTAAGTCTCTTTCAGTCTTTTTTAAGAAACATTTTCCCTGAAAGTTTGATTTGGAATAGATTGAAAGTGGCTTCTGATTGAGAGTGGACTAGAGAGTAGATGAGTTTGGACGTGCATGCTTTAGCTTTACATTGCTTTGATTGCATTCAGAAACATTGTTGCGAGTGAAATTGCCTGAAGGGTGAAGAAAATTACATGGATACTGAAATATACAGACATTATTTAAGAAACCTCAGTTTAATTAAATAGTTTAAAAGAAACAAGAAAGACAAACAGGCTCTGTGTTCTGTATTATATTTCGCACATGTAAGTGTTATAAATGGAGTCCTCCATTTTCCTCCAGAGTTTGCTCCTGATGGCCGAGGTCAAGATGATCCGTGAGCAGCCAAGCAATCCCTCCGTTGCAGTAGAGATGACTGGTGCCAGCTTGGCTTGGGAAACGGGGGGTCACAGCGCCCAGCCTTCACCCCGTGGTACACCCTATATAGGCCTCGGAATGAGAGGGTGTCGCAAGAAGCGTCGTCAGCGGGATGACCCGAAACATCATGTGATTTTGGAAGAGGAAACGCATGGCCAGCTGTTGCATGATGTGTCTGGAGACATGGCGTCCAGTCCTGAAGATCACACCCTTCAAGTGCCGACCATCAGCCAACGGCTGCAAAGAACTCTTCACTGCATCGATCTCACTATACAAAAGGTCTTTGCCTTTCTAAAAGTTGGTCGATTTATAATGGTCGAGATGACAAGGAATAATAATCATTCATCTGTTTGAATCTTTAGGGGAAGCTGGTCGGTGTGTGTGGCAGTGTGGGAAGTGGCAAAACATCTCTCATCTCTGCCATTCTTGGCCAGGTGAGCGTTTATTGACTGATTTAAAGAGATGGTCCTCACTGCAAAACATGAAATCCACGGGGAGGAATCGGATCCAGATCCAACTCCTCCCACCTTACAAAAAACTAAACCTACCTAGTCCCCCGATCCCTAAACCCACCCCTAAACCTACCGAGCTCCACCTCCTGATCCCTAAACCCACCCCTAAACCTACCGAGCTCCACCTCCTGATCCCTAAACCCACCCCTAAACCTACCGCGCTCCACCCCCGATCCCTAACCCCACCCCTAAACCTAGCCAGCTCCACCCCTGATCCCTAAACCCAGCCCTAAACCTACCGAGCTCCACCCCCGATCCCTAACCCCACCCCTAAACCTATCGAGCTCCACCCCCGATCCCTAACCCCACCCCTAAACCTACCCAGCTCCACCCCCGATCCCTAACCCCACCCCTAAACCTACCCAGCTCCACCCCTGATCCCTAAACCTACCCAGCTCCACCCTCCGATCCCTAACCCCACCCCTAAACCTACCGCGCTCCACCCCGATCCCTAACCCCACCCCTAAACCTAGCCAGCTCCACCCCTGATCCCTAAACCCAGCCCTAAACCTACCGAGCTCCACCCCCGATCCCTAACCCCACCCCTAAACCTATCGAGCTCCACCCCGATCCCTAACCCACCCCTAAACCTACCCAGCTCCACCCCCGATCCCTAACCCCACCCCTAAACCTACCCAGCTCCACCCCTGATCCCTAAACCTACCCAGCTCCACCCTCCGATCCCTAACCCCACCCCTAAACCTACCCAGCTCCACCCCGATCCCTAACCCCACCCCTAAACCTACCCAGCTCCACCCCTGATCCCTAAACCTACCCAGCTCCACCCTCCGATCCCTAACCCCACCCCTAAACCTACCCAGCTCCACCCCCGATCCCTAAACCCACCCAGCTCCACCCCCGATCCCTAGCCCCACCCCTAAACCTACCCAGCTCCACCCCTCACATCTGGATCCGACTCCGCCCCCTGGATCTTGTGTACTGCAATGAGGTGTTACTGGATTTAAAGGGCAGAGTCATTCATTGATCCATTAGATGTGTTTAGAAATCCTCAGATCCACTGTTGTGTGTGTATCCCAGATGACTCTTTTAGAGGGGACTGTTGCTGTAGATGGAGATTTCGCGTATGTGGCACAACAAGCCTGGATTCTCAATGCATCCTTTCGTGACAATATCCTGTTTGGCAAGGAAATGGAGGAAGAGAGGTGAGCACCAGATCTTTTTCTTTCTTCACTTAGGGGTAAAAATAAGTCGGAAACATCTTTGCAGCGCTCTACTGTCAGCGAACATCCCGAGACATCCCGAGAACATCCCGAGAATATGTGATGTGCTCTTTCCTCCTAATAACAAAATGAACACGACTAAAATGACAGCTGTGAGAAAACAGCAGTTAAAGGGATACTCCACTTTTTTTGGAAATAAGCTCATTTTACAACTCCCCCAGAGTTAAACTGTTGAGTTTTACCGTTATTGAATCCATTCAGCCAATCTCCAGTTCTGGCGCTACCACTTTTAGCATAGCTTAGCATACATCATTGAAGTGCACAAGACCATTAGCATTTCTCAAAAAAAATGACCAAAGAGTTTCGATATTTTTCCTATTTAAAACTTAACTCTTCTATAGTTACATCTGACGGAAAATGTAAAGTTGCGATTTTCTAGGCTTATATGGCTAGGAACTATACTCTCATTCCTGCGTAATAATCAAGAAACTTTACTGCCGCCGTACCATGAGTGCAGCATGCGTAATAATGTGACGCACACATACGCGAAATCTCCATCAACAGCAACAGTCCCCTCTAAAAGAGTCATCTGGCATACATTTGAGAAATGCTAATGGTCTTGTCCACTTCAATGATGTATGCTAAGCTATGCTAAAAGTGGCACCGCCAGAACCGGAGATCGGCTGAATGGATTCAAAAACGATAAAGCTCAACAGTTTAACTCTGGGGGAGTTGTAAAATGAGCCTATTTCCAAAAAAAAAGTGGAGTATCCCTTTAAGAAAGCATAAAGCAGAAGAAATGAACCGGAGAACCTTTTCATGTCAAAGAAGGCGGAGCCACAAAGCCACACCTTTTACGTAATCACCACAGACCAATGGTATTCTGAAGGTGTTTGCCCCCCAAAGCAATCTTTTCTGGACAGTCTGCTTTGTCAAGCTGTTTTGAAACAAACAAACTTCGTTTTAGCCTGATTTGGTTTGAAATGATGCCACACCTGTTTGTTCGTCAACTTCGCTTGAAGTATACCGGGCCCTTTTTTAACGAAACGCATCAGTACATTTGGTTCGCCAGATGCCTGCACTACAGCAATGAATAATGTGTTTGAGTCAGCAGGAAGTACACTAGAGGGCTGAGCCAGTAAAAAGAGTCTCAGGTGGTGCGTGACTCAGCACAGAGATAAAATGAGCACGGACAACCTTGAACACTTGTTCTTTGTCATTGAATAGCCTCCACACGCCTCCTGATGAAATATAGTTTACGTATTATAGATGCAATGGCACCTTGCTTGATATTTTACCTGAAAACATGATCATATCTGATCGTCCTGTATCTCTGACATGTCTCCTGCAGGTATCAGGCTGTACTGAGTGCTTGCTGCTTGAGACCAGACCTGGCCATCCTCCCTCTTTCTGACTTGACTGAGGTAACACATCCTACAGAATAACCAACAGTAGTAATGAGTTAGAATTAGGGATCGACCGATATGGATTAGCCATTGTTGTATTTATTTCAGAGTAGAAACATAATTACACAATCACAAAATATATATAGAAATGTGCAATTTAAAGGTTTATATATTAATATTGATTATTAAATAAACTTTACTTTTGGTTTTCAGCTAACGAAAAACTTTAATTTCAGTTGTTTCAGTAAAAAAAGAACATTGGTGCATCACTAATCAGCAGAGATACCGATAGACCCGAGCTACAAATAGAATAATAATTTGATACAAGCACTAAATTCTCATTTACAATGAGCCTATAATCAGGGCCAATGTTTTATACGTGGTGTGATTCTCTGTCAGATTGGTGAACGTGGCGCCAACCTGAGTGGTGGTCAGCGTCAGCGAGTAAGCCTGGCACGGGCTTTATACAGCAACCGGGACATTTATATTCTTGATGACCCTTTAAGTGCTCTGGATGCTCATGTCGGAAATCACATCTTTAACAACGCCATTAAGAAGCAGCTGCGGGGCAAGACCGTCATCTTTGTCACTCACCAGCTGCAGGTACGGCACATTACAATGTCATTCCCCGTCATGTGAGATCTTTGAAAGCCACTGAAGTATTGGGCGTTTCTGTTATCAGTATCTGGTGGACTGTGATGACGTGATCGTCGTGCGTGACGGCAGCATCACTGAGCAAGGCAGCCATGAGGACCTGATGAATGTGAATGGAGACTACGCCGCCATGTTTAACACCCTTCAACTGGGAGAAACACACATCATTGAGGTCAGTATCTCTTTAGTCAGACTCTTCAGCCAAAAATTCAAACTTTATCATCATTTACTCACCTTCATGTTGTGACAAAGCTTTTGTCGCATGATGTGCAAGAACCAATAATGGTTGATGATAGTTGATTTGAGTTTCAAGGAATAAAGGCTTAAATTTCAGTCCGCTTATTATACAAAACAATCATGCTGATTCAGATGATTCTGGATTAATTAATTTCACACTTTGTCATTTTTGGAGCTCAAAGGTCAAAGGTCGCTTAAGGCCCCGATATACTGACAGCAATGTTCTTCGCTTAGGGTGTCCACCAAAGCGTTTTTCCACGTGCCTGGTGTTTGTTTTCAATTGTTTTCAATGGGAGCGCCGCGTTTTTTAAACGGCATGAGCGTAACGAGGCGCTGAACTTTTTTTCACGCTGAACCGCCCAAAGTTTTTTACTGGTCGCCGAGAGTTGAAAAATGTTCAACTGTGGATAAAACTTGCTCATCACTGTCACTTTTCACCCAGCCGTCAGGTCACAGTGGAGGAGGGGCGGGGCTAATACCTCACCGACCAACTGTCACAACATTGTTTCTGTACAACGACATCAACCAGCAGAGCTAACCGAACAAAATGGGTGAAAAATACATTTTTAGTATGAAACAAATTATCTGTGAAATCAGTTACAAGTAAACTGTGCTGCGGATATTCTGTATCATAGCAACGAAACGTCTAAACTAGGGCTGTCAGTTAAATGCGTTATTAACGGCGTTAACGCAAACCCATTTTAGCGGCGTCAATTTTTTTTATCGTGCGATTAACGGTCAAGACCGGTCTAGCTAGACCGGAAACAAAACAACTGGCACGCCGCACACACTTTTTTGGGCTTGCGAGCCGGCCAAATAGTTGATTAACGTTGCGTTTTGAGTGGATGACGAGTGCGAGACGCCGAAATGGATGCCAATAATATTCTGAATGGAAACTTTACTTTACTAAAAAGTTGCCAAATGGTTCAATTGACAAGACCAAAGTGACCTGTGTGTTTTGTCGTTGTGAACTGAGCAATCCTCATCGCAGCACATCCAGTCTGAAATACCACTTGATTGCCAAGCACACACACACACACACACACAGATGATGCGAATTCTCCGCTCCCTCGTCAATATCAGGACCTCGTCAGTATTTCTTTCACCCTTTTATTGATGGAGTGTTACATTGAGAGATTATTTGCTCCAAGTGTGAGTGGTAGTGTGAAATCGAACACAGTATATGCCAATGTTGTTTTTAATATAAAACATTTGCACAAAGCAAGCCGATCCACTTTTCCATGTTGATAAGAGCATTAAAATGAGAAAAAATAATGTGAGAAAATAAATCAAGAGACATTTAGAATAGATAAAAATGTGCGATTAATCGCGAGTTAACTATGACATTAATGCGATTAATCGCGATTAAATATTTTAATCATTTGACAGCATTAGTCTCAACGGAAAAAGCGCTGCGCTGCCAAAACGCTCTCAAGCGTCTAACATTTTCAGCTGGCTAGGGGTTTCATCAACTAGTCGACTGTCACAACCACTAGTTGGCGCTGTTGGCCTTAGTCGACTAGTCGGAAACAAAATGATGACATATATATATAGATATATTTTTTTTGTTAACTATCCCTTTAAATACAAGCGGCAGTATACTAGCACTATAAGGCGCACCTTCAATGACCTATTTTAGAAAATTTTTCAAACGTTTGACTGGGTTTGCATTATGCATCCACTAGATGTGCTAAAGGGAATGCAGCGAGTGCGCGGCGTCGGAGGTGAGGCGTTTATTTAAGCGTGAGCGCGCGGGGCGGGCACGTAACTTACATTCGCAGCCTGCTGACAGCAGTGTCTGTTCGTGTGCGTGTTAGAGAGAGCGCTCGTGAGCGGGAGATATTTTATACGAGGTTGAACTGGCCGTGTGACAAAGCGGGCATAAGATGGACACGAGCGCGAGCAATTGATCCATATATAATGTGCTCCGGATTATAAAGTTTGAGAAAAGGCCGGATTGAGAAAATTAAAGGCTTTTAAGTGTCCAGTATTCAGGCGCTGTTTGACAGGCTTCTAATGCCTGTGAGCATCGGGGATGTGCCGCGCGCTCAGGAAAGCGCATGTTAGAACAGCGCGTGAATTAAATGTTTAACCGGCAAGGCTTATGCAAACAATGAACTTTTGTGAATTGCAGTGTCCCGTACCTATTCCTTAACGTGTGATGTGTAGGCTACGTCGCGTTGTACAGTTGAGAGACGCCAGAACTGATAGAATGCACTGTAACACGATACTACTACTACCATATTTCTTCAAAAGCAGATCGTGGAGACATTTACTATTCGTGTTGTCGCACACCCCTAGAATAAACCATTTAACGACTAGTCGACTAGTCGTCGACTGTTATGCAAAACTAGTCGACTAGCAAAAATCAGTAGTTGTGAAACCCCTACAGCTGGCTAAAAGCGCTTTGGTGGACACACGGCCTTAGGGGTAAAATGAAGTTCGAAAC